ATAAAAGTTCCCATGTATCAATTACTCAATATTGTTCTTCACTAGTTGAGCTCATAAACAGAAATCCTTAGTGAATGCAAGTTGTGGTATACACACTTGTAATTCTAGCACACTTTAGAGATTGAGGCAGGAAGATCAGATGAGGTAAGCCTGCTCTTATGTAGTAACACTGTCTTAAAAACAAAATACAAACTTAAAACAGATGAAGAAATCTTTGATGATTAGCCAAATTATAACATTTTAAAACTTTGAAGAATGAAATGCCATGTAGTCAAAATTATTAAATGTATAGTTATAATTGTACCACATTTGAGTTTTGGCCAAAGATGATTCAAAACCAATTCTAGGCTGAGCATAGACATAGATACCTGTAATCCCAACACTTGGGAGGAGGAGGCAAGAAGAACAGCAATTCAAGGTCATCCTCAACTGCACACTAAGTTTGAGACCATCTTGAACTACATGAAAGCCTGTCTCTAAAAATCTTCAAACCAATAATCCTTATTGAACTGTTTTTTAAATATAATAATTTTTAAAGTTTTACTAATAAAATGTTTACTAGATCTAATTAAAAGTTTGGCAATAAGATCCACGGGTTCTAACTTTTTAACACAAATACTTTTAACTGAGCAAAATCAGCAGTGGGATTAGATCTGTTTGATCTATTTTGGCTAGAATGCTTGTAGATTGTTATCGCCAAGCTCTGGACTTTCTTTTAGTAACTGACTGCAGTAAAAGAATCATCCCTCTTTAACATCTGACTCTCTGGTGTGATCACTTCTATGGTTCCTTTCCTGATAGTGATACACAGATATACACAGCAGATTCTTGCATTGTAAGAAGAACAGTTTTGAATTTATAGATACAAGCTTATCTAAATATTTTCATTAGAATGTATTTGTAAGCACTTTCTATTTTGTGTTCTTTCTAGAGAAAAATCTGTCCTTGCATGTCAGAACTGGAAATGAAACATTTGTTTTAGTAAAATCTTGTTTGAATTTTGATGTGCTCTTATCTTTTGCTGTGTGCAGTCTTACAACCTTCAGGTAGAACAATGTTTTTAGTAGCAGTTACCACTGAAGGGATTGTAATTTCAGGGATAACCTAATTCCACTATACAACTAACTCTATCTACAAACAACTACGGAATATTTCGTAAGATTTACTATGTTGATGTTTTTATTATTCCTGACACATGGTATTGAGGCTTTATTTTATTCTAGTGGATTTTTAAATTTTTTAAGTGTTTGAAATAATAATATATTTATACTATTTTCCCTTCCTTTCAATTTCATGACCTTTTCCTTTAACTGTTGTTATATACATGTACACACACACACACACACACACACACACACACACACACACATTAGTAAATACCACCCTTCTCAGTCTGTATTATGTTACTTGTATATATGTTTTCAGGGCAACCATTCGGTATTGGATAACAAATTAGTGTAAAAGTAGATTTTAATATGTTATGATTATATCTTGATCTGATTTGAATAGAAATTCCAAAGTTTTAAATAAGTATTAATTTTTGGCTTTATCTCAAAAAGGATCATAAAAGTGACCCAGCATTTTACTACGGGCAGCTATCTGTTTTATGCAATACTGCAATTAATATCTAAAAAAAATATGAACACAAAATGTTTCTGTTATTCTTGTTTCTGCCTTTCTTGTCTGCAGGGTTAGAGAGTGGAGACATTATGTGAGACACATGGCGGTACGGGGTTAGGAAGGAGGCACGAACATGCGGCGGTCCCACGTGGGTGCACTTTAATGGGGGAGGGGTAACAACAAATAAGGTACAGGTGTGCAGAGACAAAAGGAGAGGGGGGGAAGAGAGAGGGGGCTCGTGGCAACCCCAGCTTTTAACAAGGAATGCAAGGGCGTCTGGGAGAAATGCCCTGTGCCTTTGCGGCTTCCAGTCCAGGGGGATGCTGGGAGCTGTAGTTTGCAAAAGGAACAACAGTTTCTTTATGTAATTTCTGACTCACCCATAGCTTCTGTCACACTACGAATGACAATGTATTTAAATTTTGCTGATAATTTCCCATTCATGAATGAATATTCAGTCAGAATTTCTGTTATTTGTTTTAGAAGGAGTTTTAAAATGTTTCCCAAGAGTCCTCCTTCCTCATGTACATACTGAAGATCGAGTCCCCAAGATTTTAATAATTGTAATTGCTGTAATTGTTGTGCTGAGCACATGACAGATGGTTTACCTCGCATGCCCACCCAAGGCTCTGGAGTCAAACTATAGCCCTGTGAATAAAAAAGCTTACAAACAAATGAGATGCAATAGTGATGACTTATTCAAATAACATTTGCTCTTCACTCATTGTGTACTAGTGATATACAGATCACTATTCTAAACTGTGGAATTTCAACTATTTAATGGAAATGTTAAAATGTTTAAGATGGTTGAAAGCTTTCCAAATTTGTTATTTTGGTAGGTTTCCTCTTCTAACTTAATAATTCTTTCTTTCTTCCATAATAAATATTTTGATTTTGTTTCATTTTTCTGTTAATGCAAATAATTTGGATTCTTTGAAAGATTTAGGAGTAACACAGTTCTTACCTCTCTTTTCATGAATAATATATTTTTATTGTTTGGTCTAAAAGGACAGTGCATTAAGCCAAGATGCATCATCATTTGTATGACTAGACACCATGGAAAACAGCCCTGTATATTCAAATGCTTTTTTTTTTTTTTTTGGTTTTTCGAGACAGGGTTTCTCTGTAGTTTTGGAGCCTGTCCTGGAACTAGCTCTTGTAGACCAGGCTGGTCTCGAACTCACAGAGATCCGCCTGCCTCTGCCTCCCGAGTGCTGGGATTAAAGGCGTGCGCCACCACCGCCCGGCCTATTCAAATGCTTTTTAAAAACTGAGTATTTAACTCGAATACAGTTGTATCATTTCCCACCTTTTTCTTTCTCCCTACAACCATTGGCATGTCCCCTAGCCCCCCAGTTTCTCTCTCACTCCCTCTCAACAGTAATTCCTGGATAATTATGTTGTTACTCCTCTTACTTCCAATATGACCAGCTTTGGAGTTCAGTTTGTTATGTATTCCTGCTCCTATGTCTGAATATCCTCACATATCCAACCTTATATTGACTCATATGAGTAACACTTTGGCTTGAAATTTATTAATGATAATCATGGAGAAAAGTCTCCCTACATTTCTATACAGAAATATAAGAAAATGAAAGCAAAGTAAAATGAATTATTATGAGGTTGGAGAGTTGGCTCTGAAGTTCCTGAGGACCTAAATCTGGTTCCCAGCACCCCTTTTGCCCAGAACTGTCTAAATCTACAGCTTTAGGGAATATAACCTCTTCTTTGGGCACTTTCATCCACATGCAGATACCCACATAGAAACATACTCACATACACCTACCAAAGTAATAGAATAAATCTTTTTTAAAAATTCAAAAATTAAAGAAATTAGTTTAGAGTGATCATCTTTTCTGTAGCTTTTCATTCTGAGGCACACCAAAGTTTCACACTGTTACTGCAATGAAAACACTGAAATCATTGGACATAAACGTGGCAGAGTCACCACGAATAGGTGGTAAGTAAAGAACACGTAGCTAGAGTGGAAAATTTCCCTGTTTATCACCATCTCATGAAGGAAAAACAGTTCTTGTATCTATAAATCCTTGTAACCTTCCTTTTCTGTGAATCTTATAGAGATGGAAGCAGGGAGCAGGACTGGAGCAGACAAAGAGAAGAAGATTAGATTAACAGCAAATGTTGCAAGTTGGGTAGAAAATTCAAGGCATAAAGTTGAGTAACTTTTTCTCGTACAAGGTGCAAGAAGGCCTAGGGGTGTATAAAACTATCATTCAGCTCCAGAAAAGACTACTAAGTAGGAGAGGCACTCCTTGGGGCTGCTTGCCTATATACTCTCAGTTCTTTCTATGCCTGGAGTCTCAGAATCCGTCATCTCCAACATCTTTGAGTTTGTAAATCACTTTAAGAACACCAATTGGGGGATACACTGAGTAAAATATAGCTAGTGTTGGAGCAGCTTCAGGGTAAAATGTAGCATAAAATGCTTTAAAAAATTGCAGTCTTCTATAGTTCTTTGTGGTTTACAGATGTGTATTTCTCTCTTCCTTTTCCTCCTGTTTTTCCTCCTCCTTGCCTGCTTCCATGTTTTGTAGGAGGCTGCTTGTTGGTTCCTGACTGCCCAGACTCCTGAAATAACCACATAACTGTATTAATTAAAGCACTGTTTGGCTCATTATCCCTGGCTTCTTATTGAATGACCCGTACATATTAATAATTTTGTTCACTGACAATTTTGTACATGTATAAAGTATATTTTGATTATAGTATTATTATTCTTTCTTCCCAGCTTCTCTCCTAATCCATCTTTTCCTATCAGCCCTCATCTTTCTACTGGTGTGGGATAATTGTCTGCATTCAGTCAATCATGTTTTAAATAAACGCTGATTGGCCAGGCAGGAAGTATAGGCAGGTCAACTAGACAGGAAGTAGTGGAGGGGTGATGAGAAGATGAGTGTTCTGGGAAGAAGGAAGCTTCTTTTGGGAGTCCTGCCCAGATCACCGAAGAAGCAGAGTGTGACCTGCCCTGATGAAAAATGGCAATTCTGATTCCAGGAGTCCTCAGAATGAGACTGTGTCTGAGACCTGTCTCCTCTCTAGTGCTGGGATTAAAGGCATGCACCATTACTGCCTGGTTTCGATGGCAAACTAGTGTGGCTACTGGAATTAAATGTGTGCATCACTGCTGCCTGGTCTATAAGGCTAATCACTGTCACTGTTTTACACTCTGAACTTCAGGCAAACTTTATTTATTAAAATACAAATAAAATATTACTACAGAAATGGGCTGTCACGCCAGTGGAGGAATCAACTTGCTAGCAAGTGTGAGAACAAGCAGGCAAAAGAACAAGCTTCCTTCTCCCATTTCTTTTATATAGGCTTCCAGCAAAAGGTATAGATCAGATTAAGGGTGAGTCTTCTAGCCTCAAAAGATCTGGATTAAAGTGTATCTTCCCACCTCAAAAATACAGATTTGGAGTGGGTCTTACTTCAAATGATTTAATTAAGAAAAAAAAGGTATTCCCAGCTGCTTAGGTTTTAGTTAATTCTAAATATAGCCAAGTTGACAAGCAAGAATCACCATCACAAACAAGAAATAGTTTGGCAGTGAAAGACAGGGAGTGCTGAGGCTCTTTTCCATCCATGCCTGACAGTTGATGGATGAGGTTTTGTGCAGATCTAGTGCAGGCATACAGGGCTACTTTGTCATTAAAATCTTAGAAGATGGCATTGTGGAGTCTTCTCCATCTTCAGATTCTTACATCCTTTTAATTCCTTTCTCACAATGTCTTTGAGCCTTAGAAGGGATCCTATAGAATTCATGTTTAGGCTGAGCATTCATCAGTCACCTTATTTCAGTCATTTGTACATCCATGAATTTCTGCCTTTTCCACCATTCCCTGGAAGGAAAGCATTTGCTCATTAATCCTGGAAACATAACTACTAGAAGACAGTTTGATTCTATTCTAACCTAGCTAGACTATAGGTTCAGCTTTTCAGTAGGATCTCTAGTTTCCCATTACATGGAGTTTTGACCAGGTTCATAGCACAAAAAGTCCATGTGAATAAGGAAAATAACATCAGGGGTCAATAAATTTATTCAATTAGTCTATTTCCCCTGATATTTAAAAATAAACATTTCAAGGAATCTACAAATTCTAAAAAGAAAACCAGAAAAAAAGCGTTATTGTATTTATTCAAGTATTGCCCATGTATCTCATTATTATTGCTTATGGAGAATGGAAAATTGAATCACACAATTCAAGACATTTATAAGGAAAAAGCCATTTATTTTGGGAAATAAGTTAGTAATTAGTATTCAAAGGAACACTGGAGAATAGAATAACTTTCTCTACATACCCTGGAAATAGATGTGACTCTACATTTTGGGAATTTGTTCTTCCTTTTTATTAATGTCTACACAACTCAGTCATATGTTTGGAGACAAGCACACTGGCACAGTAATCTTAACTGGTCTGTCTGGAACAGGAAATACAGCAAGACATTTGTTCAGCATAGCTCAAAATGCTTTGATCCATAATCAATACATCATTAATAGTAGGTGGCATGTTTGACAAGTTAAACCTTCTTGAGTGTTCAAGGAAGTCAAACCTGTCCCTGAAAATGAACATTTTGAAATTCTTTTAACAATTTTAAAATACAATTGAAGAACAGAAATTCAGTTCCTTGGATTAAATGGATCAAGAGAAAACAAAGATAAGAAACTACAAATAGAACTTCAAGATTAATGGTTATGAGAAAATGAATGAAAAATTAGATGCCGAGAATCTAATATGTTGCTGGGAACTTTGCGTTTTATTAAATGCAAAAGCTGTGAAGAAGATGTCTGCAAGTATCTTCAACTTTAGAACAGATATAAACATACATGCAGTTCTATTTGACAATTTAAAGCATGATTCCCTCACCTTAGCAGTTAAAGGAAAAAGAAAACTCATGACAATTTATTCTTGTGTTTCCCTAATCATGTATTTTTTCATGTTGTTTTGCTCTAAGTGTGCTTTTTATCCTAGACGATGCTCAGTGATCAACTGAGTATACATATTTGCTAATACTACATGAAGCACTACATGTCATCTATAACTGACCCAGAATTTTTCTTGGGATTTTCTCGAATGACTCCCAAAATTTCACTATTTATGAACAGACTTCAAACACTTTTAAGGTCAGCCTTATCTTTTACTCTTACCATAGCATCTCTCTTAACTGAACTTTCTACTGCCCCCGATGTCCTTAACCTCTAAATCTAAAGATGTTCTTCTCTAATCAGCGACTGGAGTTTCTCTAAACACGTGTCAAATCATATCGCTCCTTTTATAAATCCCGATAGCTCAATTTTTTTTTCTCGATGCTCAAATGTACAGACCAAGATTTTAGACTTACTTTTGAACTTGCAGCTTTTCATGCCTGGAACACTTTCTCTGATGTGTGAGACTGTCTCACCATTTAGATCTCAAGTCGCAGGCTCCTCAGAGACTCCTCTTTGACAACCCTAATTAAAGTATCAGCAGCTTTTAACATTTTCCTGTGACTGTATTTGTTTCCCCCTGCAGTTAGATCCTTTGTGTATAGATGGTGTCGTCTGTTTTATCCTTCTAGAATGTAGACCTGATTAATGCAGAGAATTTATCCTGCCCAGGTCTGTTGAAAGCTAAGAATAGAACTTTGTCTCAATTAGATAATGTGGAATGAGTACATGAGTAAGAAAGGGGCTTTGTTATGCAGCTATTTTTGGATTAGGATGTATGTCACAGGTCACAGAGGCAAAAGCATCACAATAATAATTTTTATAGGTTTCTTGTAGCTAAACAAAACTAATTCAAAGTGGTCTAAGTAGGGCTTTAGTATGCACAATGTGGATAGTAAGCTGAACATAGATATATGCAGTTAGTTCATGGGTTTGAAATCAGGTTTTTGAGACAGGGTTTCTTTGGTCTCCTCAATTGGCAGTATGCACTGGTGCCCTCATAGCAGAATTGACAGCTAGTTATTACCTGTGTGATCATGAGAGTGAAGAAGAACTATGTAGTACATTGTGCTAAGCTGTGATATCTGGCACATCAAATGCTTTTCTGACTTATGATCCTTTAACTTACTGTGAGTTCATTTAAACGTAGCTCTATTGTGAGTCAATGAATATCTATACGTCTTTCCATTCATGATATTGTCTGGTTATAGAAAATAATAGTAAAAATGAAAGTTAAACAATGGTTACCATTGGTTCATATAAAGAGTTGAGGCCAATCTCTCTCAGGTACATTTTAACAAGGACTGTACACTTATCAAGTGTGTAGTTGGCTCCCAGTGTCCTTGTTGGTAAACTTTCCTTTGCATTCTCTGATAAAGGAGACTTTTGAGTTATGGAATATGTGATTTCTTAAGTTGATTTATCTAGACCCAATATTTTTAAACCAGTCAGGAAAGCCATCCAGCTCATTCCATCCTCACTTCGAAACAAAGTCCTGGTTGTTGAAGAGAAAATAAGTATTCCCTAATTCAAGACATAGTTTATTTTGAATAAGGCAGTTGCCAGCAATGTGACATTTTCCTAAGGGTAAAAATGTGAATGAGTGAGAACAGTAGTAGTAAATGCTCATTAGTTCTAACCTTAGTCCTTAACAGAGCTAACAGTTTATTTTTATACAAAAGATTAAAATATAGTAGTTTCTAAGATGTACTATTTTACAAATAAGTTATCTAGAATGGTTATTAGTTAGCCTAAGATGTGATTTGAGATGGGTCTTACACTGCGGCTCAGGATGTCTTACTAACCTGAGTGCTATGTTTATAGCTGTGAGCTACCACTTCCGGTCCACATGAAGCTTTAAAACAGGTGATAGCTCTTGATGGTTGAAGAGAAGTTTTATGGTGAGACACCAGATGCATTATATAGTCTTCCTGCCTGGGAACTGTGGAAAAAGTCTACCAAAATAATTCAAGAAGACAATCTGTGGGGAGGAAAGCACACGGACAAAACTGTGAAGTCACTGAAGTGTTTCCTTGATACTTTTGGGCTCTTTTTACTGTCCTATTTTACCCTTCATTTTATCTTTGGTTACATCTTCATTATAAATATCTTTTTGTGTCTACTCAGGGCCTCCAAGACTGTCATCATCTCTTTTTATTTTTGTACTGATATTGCAGCTGTATATCCCTTCCATTTTCTCTTTCCAATTTAATCCTTATACTCTATTCTGTGCACCAGAGATTGGTTTATTCAAAATTAAACTTTAATCTTGTGATTCTCTATTAAATTTTTAAATAAAATCTGAATATATTAATATTTAAAAGTCTTGAGGTCCTGAATGCTCTTGTTTAATCTGTGCCCTTCCATCATCTCTAGAATTATCTAGCAAATCTTTCTTTTACCAATCTCACAGTTATTCAAGTTTCCTTTCTCAGGACCATTGATGCGATGTTCCTACTATACAGAATTGCCTCTTCTTCTCCTCTGTAATTTCCTGATCTTTGCTCCTACATCACATCTTTTTGTTAAATGTAATATCCGATGGCATTTTTCTGACCTTTAGGACGTATCTAGCTTGCTGTCATTAGAATTTCATGTATATACTGACTTATGTTTATCTCTATTTTGCCAGTTATGAAACTGATGACTGACAAATACACATGTGAAGTCACTTGTGACAGGTTACAAAGTAGGGATTCAGTTGGAACATGGAGTCTGGGGATAGCACTAAGGCATGGGTGCAATCAAGGAAATAAAATGATTTTTTTCACTTCAGTCAGGGAAGTCAGTATTGTGTGCTGTTACAGTTTAACATGGTTGTACTAAATAATTCATCTTCTTAGCATGTAATCTCTATGGTACCAGAGACACTGACTACGTTGTTGGCTGTTATATCTTTAAGGACTTCATATTCTGTCTTGACAAGGTCATCCATAACCCTCTGTTACACAGATGTACTGTGGGCTTTCCTAGAAGGAGGATGCATAGCTTTGCTTCCTGGCAGAGTGCCAGCCTATGAAAAATGATCAGGACTTGCACATTTGAATAAGTATTAGCTAGTTATGATAAATGATCATTAAAATTTAATTCCAACTTGTATCGTCTATCTTAAAAGAAGTAGAAGCATACTTATTGTGATAAAAAGAATGATGAGTGCATGAGGGGGTGGAGTATTTGTAAAGGGTCAAGAAAAGGAATTATCTGACCTATTTATTTTGTCTTTTGCAAACAAACTCCATATTTTAATCTTTTGTAATGTACTACGTATGAAAGTCCCGGGGAACATATCCCAAAGATTTGCTATGTTTCTGTTTCTCTTTATCACTCCTTACTTTCTTTCCTCTCTTCCTTACTCTTTCCTTCCCTTCTTGTTGTCAGCAATATTCATTTATTTCATGCTCTTTGTTTCCTGGCTTCCCTTTTCATTGTACTCAGTATATTCCATTTTTATGAAATGTAAACATTATGAAGACTGTGCTTTCCTTGGAATCATTTTCATTTATTATCTCTGTAAAGTTTCCCACTCTTCTGAGACAAGGGCTTTTCTTTGCATGAGTACAAAGATTAAAAGGAGAGCAGTGAGACTATCGGGTTAATATTTTCCTCCTTTTCCTCTTGCCACTAATCTACTCCCTGCCCAGAGACAATTAAGATGTGGCCCAGAAGCCTTGTTCATAGATTACTCTCATTGCAGTAGGGAATGGGAAATGACCAAGAATAGCAAGAACGTGTTCACAACTCTGCACTTAATGAGTGTTTGCAGGAAATATTTAATATTTAAAGAGCTTTTATGGGAGTTTTTGATAGAAAAACCCAGACTCTTCTTTTAACAAGTATGCATATAAAAACAGTATATATAAAGAACAGTATATAGAAAGAAGTAGAGCTGTACTGCTCAAGAAGATTTCTTATCATTTATATGCTATTAAAACTATCCTTGAAAGTTAGAAACTCCATGGCGAATACCATTATTGTTTTATATATCAGAGAGCAATTATTTCCTTTGTTTAGGATTGACTGTAGTTAGTGATAAGATTTGGTGATTAATTTCTACAGTTGTATAGTCTTAGGAATATTACTGAGAAAGTAATCATTTTTACGCCAAAGATAGTATATTTGAAAGTATTGTGCTATCTGTGTGTTCATACATACATGAGATAGGAAATGCATTGCATGTCTTCCCTGCATTCATGTACATTTTTTCATGTTCACATGAGTTTCTCTTTCTTGTGTAATAGATGGTTTTGAAAGGGACAAGATGGATGTAGTGTGGTGAATCACCGTGTTCCTCACGGTCAGTGAATTGAGGAACCACCATGACATTTGGAAGGTGCACCCACAGGATGGTTCAGAAGGGTGCTTCCAGAGAGTTTCAGGGTCTAGCTTCCTCTAAGTGTGTTTAGGATTATCTGATAGTCTGGCTCCTGAATGGTAAAAATGGAAAGAGAGAACAGGCTCACAAATGCAAAGATTCTTTTTTTATTTTATTTTATTTTATTGAGAAAAGGAAAAAAAATTTTCCCCCTCCTCCCAGCCTCCCATTTCCCTCCCCCTCCTCCCACCCTTCTCCCCCTCCCCCCACTCCTCTCCCCCTCCCTTTCCAGTCCAAAGAGCAGTCAGGGTTCCCTGCCCTGTGGAAAGTCCAAGGTCCTCCCCCCTCCGTCCATGTCTAGGAAGGTGAACATCCAAACTGGTTAGGCTCCCACAAAGCCAGAACATGAAGTAGGATCAAAACCCCGTGCCATTGTCCTTGGCTTCTCATCAGCCCTCATTATTCGCCATGTTCAGAGAGTCCGGTTTTATCCCATGCTTTTTCAGTCATAGTCCAGCTGGCCTTGGTGAGCTCCCAATAGATCAGCCCCACTGTCTCAGTGGGTGGGTGCACCCCAATTGGTTTCTAGCCATAAATAAGGGTCACGGAGTCTAAAATTGGTGAACCTAACGAAGCTAAATAAGAAGGTGAACCCAAGTAAAAACATATAGTTATCCTCTTGCCTATGGGAAGTAGACAAAATTGCCGGAGAGAAAAGTGGGATCTTGGGGGTGGGGTGGGTTGGGGGTAAGGGGAGATGGGGAGAGAAAAGTGAGAAGGGGAGGATGGGAGGAACTTGGGAAAACAGGATGATTGGGATAAAGGAAGGTTGGATAGCGGAGCACGGAAGCACAATTCTTAGTTAAGGTAGCCACCTTAGGGCTGGCAAGAGACTTGAACCTAGAGTGGCTCCCAGGAGCCCAAGGCGATGTCCCCAGTTAGTTCCTTGGGCAGATGAGGATAGGGAACCTGAAATGACCCTATCCTATAGCAATACTGACGAATATCTTGCATATCACCATAGAACCTTCATCGAGTGATGGATGGAGATAGAGACAGAGACCCACACTGGAGCACTGGACTGAGTTTCCAAGGTCCCAATGAGGAGCGGAAGGAGGGAGAAGATGAGCAAGGAAGCAAAGATTCTTTTCTTGCTTTCTGTTCACCATGCTGTGAGCTATTCTACACTGTCACATCTTCCTGTCATGGTAAGTTAAAAGCCCTGAAACCATGAGCCAAAAATAAAAGTTTTTTTAAGTTGTTTTTTCCATATATTCATTGTTTTAAC